ATATTTATGTTTGTGGTTGTAATGTGACAAAATATGGAAAAGTTCAAGGGGTATGAATACTTTTGCAAACCACTGTACATACATACACACACACACATACATACATAGATTTTTCACAGGCAGATGAAGTAAAGATGAACCAAAAGAGATGTGTAATGAAAATACTTGAAAGATTTGGTATGTCTGAGTGTAGTACACGATGCACCCCATGTGAACAAAACTTAAACTTTGACTGTGAAAGTGAACTTATCGATCCAAGAGGTTATTGTGAGCTTGTAGGAAGTTTGATATATGTTATGATGGGCACAAGGCCTGATCTCAGCTGGGTTGTAAGTAATGAAATGAAGAATGGGTTCAGTACCCGGGTCACATTGGGTTCAGCGGGGTCAGTACACTTGAAGGTGTGTGGGAAGATGGCGCCAACGTGTTTCGTCCGTCATCTACCCACCTTGTCAAATTTGTTGCTTCCTGCTGTATTGTTTTATTTATTGTGCCAGGATACCTGTGGACTGTTAGTATATGACCGACAGGCACTTATTGACCTGAATCGATGTGTTGAGTTATCCCTAAGAAAAAACTTTTGAGGATCAAACATTCAGACTCCTCACTTATCTGATCTCCATGCCAGCTGACCTGTGGCGCTTACCTGTCAGTGGGCGAAAGAGGTGGGGCAGAAGACGTAAAAAACGCGGAGGCGCTCTAGTGAAAGCCAAGGCCCACCAGAGACTAACTTCTGGGATTACACCCCAAGGAACGTATGGATTGAGGTGGGTCCAGCCTGTGGCACCTGGGCGCCTAGATACCAGCTTGCGTCATCTTCCTTTGTAGGCCCTGCCGCAAAAGCGCATAGGAGGACGCCGCGCTGTGGATTTTGGAATCCTCCGGCCATTGCGCCGCAGCTCTCTACCTGTCTGTGAGGATACTCCTCTACACCTGGGCCTACTAAATGCTAGATCGCTAGCTAATAAAACATTTCTTTTAAATGATTTGTTCACATTTCGCAAACTGGATTTTATGCTGCTTACGGAGACCTGGCTCCAACATGGTGAGTCTACCCCTTTCGCAGAACTTGTACCTCCAGAATGCCTCTATCTGAACTCGCCTCAGATGACGGGCAGAGGCGGGGGATTAGCAACGGTATATAAGTCCAGATACACCTGTCGGCAGGTACCAGAAGACGTTTTCTCCAGTTTTGAGCTAAAGATATTTTGATCAGTCCTGATAGCCCTATTCTGTGCACTCTGGTGTATCGCCCACCCATGTTTAATAAAGATTTTATTCAGGATTTTACAGATTTTGTGACAGGACAATTGCTGAGACATGATCGTTTTTTTGCTTGTTGGAGACTTTAATATTCATGTCTGCTGTGAATCCAGACCTTTGGTCAGAGATTTTTTAAACTTGATTGACTCTTTTGACTTGATTCAGTTGGTGTCGGGCGTGACTCATGAAAAAGGACACATCCTGGAATTGGTTCTGTCTTTTGGCCTTAGTGTACAGATGACTGAGATTTGTGAAACACATTTTTCTAACCATTTTGCTATATTGTTCTCTATTACGCTGTCCCAGAATATGATCAGCCCCTGCACTCTGGCACGCAGAGTTCGCATAATAAATTCCCAGACAGCCTCCTCATTTTCTGACATTTTTAACAAAACATTTTTAATTCTGATCTGCAAAACCTTACTCCAGATAAACTAATCTCAAATTTTAATGAAACTTGCACAGATGTTTTGGACTTAGTAGCCCCATTCAGGCTGAAACGGTCTAGGAAAATAGCACAACCCTGGTTAAACGAACATACACGTGAACTCAGATGGGAGTGCAGGCGCGCGGAGCGCCGGTGGAGAAAAGATCACCTTCAACTTTCTTTACAAATACTCAAAGACAGTCTTGCTAATTACCAGAGAGCCGTTAAAGCTGCAAAATATAGTTTCTTGTCAAACCTTGTTTCCTCAAATTGTCATAAACCCCATGTGCACGGGTTGTTGGTCCTGTTGTCTCCTCTGAAATATGGTGTGCCTCAGGGGTCGATATTAGCACCTGTTCTTTTTGCCTTGTATCTGCTGACTTTGGGTTTAATTTTTAAAAAGCACAAGGTCTCCTTTCATTGCTTTGCAGATGACATTCAAATTTATCTACCTGTAACTACAAATGATGGCCAGTCTGCTATAAAAATGCTACAGAATTGTCTTAGAGATGTACAGGTGGGGTTGAGAGCAAATTTTCTGAATCTAAATAAGGAAAAAAACTGAGATTCTGGTGTTTGGTCAATGTAATCACCTGCCTGGGATTGGCAGCGTGATTGGACCCCGTCCTCATTCTGTCATCCGTTTGTGAAAAATCTGGATGTGATGTTTGATCCTCTGTCACTGTTATCAAAGCCAGTTTCTTCCAGTTGAGGACACTTGCCAAGATAAAATCTTATCTTCCTTTGACTGACTTTGAGACAGCTATTCATGCATTTATCACTTCACATTTAGATTATTGTAATTCTTTGTATTTAGGGCTGGACCAGAGTTCTCTACAGCGATTGCAGAGAATGCAAAACACTGCAGCCCGTTTGTTGACAAAAGCAAGGAAGCGTGAATCTATTAGCCTGATTTTGCGTACCCTTCATTGGCTCCTTGTTGTCTTCTGTGTAAAATTTAAGGTTTTATTGACAGTTTTTAAATGTTTAAACTCTATGGGCCCATCTTATTTGACTGAACTTCTGCAGCCCTACACCCCACCCAGAGCCCTGAGGTCAGCTGACCTGTTTTTGTTGGCCGTCCCTAAAGCCAGGTTAAAGACCAGAGGAGACAGAGCTTTCGCTGTGGCAGCACCCAAATTGTGGAACAGTCTGCCTTTGTCTGTTAGGTTCTCTCAGTCAGTGGGTCAGTTTAAGTCCAGACTATAAACGCAACTGTTTTCCCTGGCCTTTAACACTGGTTAAAGGGAAAATTTGTACTTAATTTGATTAGAGTTCTTGGGAAACTGCTGCAACTTATATTAAGTATGTTTTTGGTTTTTCTTTGCATTACTATCTTTTTGGTATCTTACGGCCTATTTTATTATTGTTGTTATTTTTTTAAAGGCACAGTGTGTAGGATTTTGTCAATTCTTTTAGCCGAAATTGAGATAATCACTAATGACAATAATAAAAAAACATGTCTAATCATTGCAGACAAAGACCTTGTTTTATTATTTTTACCTTATAAAAAAAGTTTATATCTCCATGGTCACGGGTCGCCACTACAGGCAGCCGCCATCTTGCACCGCCATCTTGTCTACCAAGACTCATAAAGGACAAACTGCGGTGGCGGCGTCAAAAACTGTTTTAGTTGTAATACTATAAATGTAATATTTGTTGTCTGTCATTGTAGCTGAGATAATTTTACTTATTAAAGCTCATAATCTTACCACTTGAAACATCACTAGCCCTGAAGCTGCTGGTAGACATCGCGGTTGGAATTATCAAAGGTTTTTGACACATGAGAGACACCGTAGCAACTCCTTTGCATTTGGAAGTGGGGGGTGGGGGTGGGGGGAGGACAAGGGAGGATGATTCAATCACTCAACCACTAGATGTCGCTGAAAACAACAAATCCTACACACTGTGCCTTTAACAAATTTCAGTTTTATTGTAATTTTATGTGCATGTGTGTGTATTGTTTTATCCTTAGCTATATGTGATTGGGTTTGGTCAACTGAGGTTGTTGTAAATGTGCTATATAAATAAAATTTGACTTGACTTGGTCACAGTGGATTCAGTCGGGTCAGTACCCTGATCACAGCTATGTTCACTCACTGCTCTCTGTGCAGTCGTACCACACGCCTCCTTCCTCTCTGGACATCTGTAGCTGCGAGCGCAGCCGGACGCACTCGTCTACCGTGGTTTGGAAGAAGAGGACAGGAAGTTTGCGGACGCTGCACCACTCACAGCTGATCAGCTCTGACGTATGAAGGCAAACCTTCTCAACGGTGCCACACTCAGAGCCTGAAACATACAGGAAACCTGTGAGTTGACAGAAATCTGCAGGATGTTCTGTGTGAAGAACACGTGCAGCAGGGTTACAGTCAGATGTTCCAGCTGCTCAGTGAAACATCTGCGGACTGAACCAACATTAATCCTATGAGCTCCATCATCTTCTCACCTTCAGTTTCCAGCTGGATGTGATCTATAGAAAACTGAAAACACAGAAACAAAAGAGATGTTCATTAATCCTTCACACAGTTCTGCTGTAGTCGTTTGGTTTTGTTTCAAGGACTCACAATAACAGGCCTCTTCACAATCCGGCGCAGAGTTCCTATTCTGACGCTCCGACACTCCAGGATGATGCTTTTACACCCGCTGACCGCAACTTTGGGTTTTTTTGTCCTCGGTAAAGACAGCTCAGGAGGCTCATTTCCAAACTGTAAAAGGAAACAAGAAACCAGGTTTGACACAGCTGAAAATCATCTGGTGTCATCATCACCTGCTGGAAAATCAACTAAATTAAACAACGTTGTTTCCCTTCTTTTAGAGGAGAAATTTAATTGTATCCATTTGATGTTTGCTTAATGTACCGATCTGTCCAGACTAGTCCAAACCGGTCCAGACTGGACCAACATCGGACACAGCATGTTGACTTCCTATTACCTGATCTTTCATCCGGGCTCTCCGAGGTATGGTGATCTTCATGCTGACATCTTTGAAGAACTCGCTGTTCAGTTCTTCCTGTTCGTCTGTGCTCTTCACCGCTGTCTCCACTTTGCCTCCAGAGGGCGCTGGAGAAGAGTGGGCGGAGTCAGCGGGTCGCGGGGAAACACTGTCCAATCGGTTCACACTTCCTGTGCTGGCGTTTTCGGCTTCCTCGTCCTCATCGCTGGACAGAACGACTGAAGAGGAAATGATAGTTTGAATTTCAATCCAACAGTAGGCTGTGGAGGCGGGACTTCCATATGAAGGTACCGCCTCCACATCCTGGATTTTAGAGAGGTTTCTTGTGGCGGACCACTAGAACAAACCAGACTGAAGGAAAGCTTCAGAGTCCATACAGGTTCTGTTTGGACCCTCTGGTTCTGGTTTGTTGGGGTTTACCTGAGTCATCCGTACTCACTGGGGTCGTTCAGCTCATGTTTCTGAGCCCTCCTTCCTTTGGTGGTGGTCCCAATTCCAGCTAACAGGGGTGTCCTGCTATTGTCCAGAGGGGACAGGGTCCCCTTGCTGGTCGTGATCCGTACCGGCAGAGGTTCCCTCATAGCCGAGCCGGGTTTGTAGAAGCTTTGCTGAAGACTGATTAGTCCGGGGTACGGTTGGGGTCTGAGGGGGGGTCGAGGGGTCGGGGACGAGGACGTGGCCTGCTGAGGGGGCAGCAGAGATGACCCGGTCTCACAGCTCTGACACTTGAACCTGTCCTGGCTCGGCTTGTTGCACCGCTGGCACACCATGGGGTAAACCACTGGCTGGACAGGCTCCTGGCAAAAACAGGAGACCACAGGGTGAGGACAAGTGATGGACAGGTAGAGGACAGATGACGGACAAGAATTTGACAGGTGATGGACAAGTATTGGACATGTATTGGACAGATGATGGATAAAAAATGGAGAAGTGATAGACAGGTTATAGACAAGTGATGGAGAAGATATAGATGGGTATTGGACAGGTGATGGACAAGATAGACAGGTGTTGGACAAATGATGGACAAAATATAGATGTGTGGGACAGGTGATGGACAAGATAAAGACAGGTGTTGGACAGATGATGGATAGGTATTGGACATGTGTTGAACAGGTGTTGAACATGTGTTGCATGTGATGAACAGGTGTTGAACATGTGTTGCATGTGATGGACATGTGTTGAACATGTGATGGACACATGTTGGACACGTGTTGGACAGGTGTTGCATGTGATGGACAAGTATTGGACAGGTGACAGATATGTTTTGAAAATGTGTTGGTCAGGTGTTGGACACGTGTTGGATGTGATGTACATGTGTTGAACATGTGATGGACACGTGTTGGACACGTGTTGGACAGGTGTTGGACAGGTGTTGGACAGGTGTTGGACAGGTGATGGACAGGTGTTGAACAGGTGATGAACATGTGTTGCATGTGATGGACATGTGTTGAACATGTGATGGACAGGTGTTGAACATGTGATGGACAGGTGTTGAACAGGTGATGGACATGTGATGGACATGTGTTGAACAGGTGTTGAACATGTGATGGACATGTGTTGAACAGGTGTTGAACATGTGATGGACAGGTGTTGAACATGTGATGGACACGTGTTGGACACGTGTTGGACACGTGTTGGACACGTGTTGGACACGTGTTGGACACATGTTGGACACGTGTTGGATAGGTGATGGACGTACGTTGGTCAGGTGTTGGACAGGTGTTGGACAGGTGTTGAATATGTGTTGAACATGTGATGGACAAGTGTTGAACATGTGTTGAACAGGTGTTGAACATGTGTTGCATGTGATGAACAGGTGTTGAACATGTGTTGCATGTGATGAACAGATGTTGAACATGTGTTGCATGTGATGAACAGGTGTTGAACATGTGTTGCATGTGATGAACAGGTGTTGAACATGTGTTGCATGTGATGAACAGGTGTTGAACATGTGTTGCATGTGATGGACAGGTGTTGGATAGGTGTTGGACGCATGTTGGACACATGTTGGACACGTGTTGGACACATGTTGGACACGTGTTGGACACATGTTGGACACGTGTTGGATAGGTGATGGACGTACGTTGGTCAGGTATTGGACAGGTGTTGGACAGGTGTTAGACAGGTGTTGGACACATGTTGGACAGGTGTTGAATATGTGTTGCATGTGATGGACAAGTGTTGAACATGTGTTGAACAGGTGTTGAACATGTGTTGCATGTGATGAACAGGTGTTGCATGTGATGAACAGGTGTTGAACATGTGTTGCACGTGATGAACAGGTGTTGAACATGTGTTGCATGTGATGGACAGGTGTTGGATAGGT